TCTTAATTACTTTTTACTTATTGCATTTCCGTTTTCATTCGAAGAATAATAATTTTAATCTCGCTGAATAGTCAATTCAATAAATTATATCAATTCCCGCATGGGCATCTTAACTGCTCACAGAGGTGAAATTTTGGAAGAATGACCAGGGATCGAGTCTCACCAGCGGCAGTGTGGGAGTTACCTCTCAAAGCGAGAGGGATTCCTTGTGCGCAGTGAGCTCCGGTCTAGCCTCTGTGGTTCATGTTCAGTTGAGTTACCATGATTTACATCCTCCCAAATGCTCTGTCGGGTCAGTGAGCTCCGGTCTAGCCTCTGTGGTTCATGTTCAGTTGAGTTACCATGATTTACATCCTCCCAAATGCTCTGTCGGGTCAGTGAGCTCCGGTCTAGCCTCTGTGGTTCATGTTCAGTTGAGTTACCATGATTTACATCTTCCCTAATGCTCTGTCGGGTCAGAGTGTGGGGGGCCCTTAGGGTTGGGGTTCAACCTTTTGGAAGAATAAATTATATCAATCACTACATTTATAATTATTTGGTGTAACGAATAAACATGTATTCATAACTTACTTAGGTTTGGTGGCGACAAATGTTTACATTTTGATTCGATCATTGTAAAGTCGAGCTCGGAATTACAATGTTCAATAAAGCCAAACAGATTTGGTGTAAATTCTCGCTCAAAGTTTTGAAAATTTTTTTCCTTTTTAGATTTTTTTAATTAAAAATTATTGCCTTAAAAAAATATTTGCTTTGATTTGACATTACATGTAGCTTTTCTTGCTCATTTTTCAATGTGATCTAACTGACATCCACTTTTACAAGTTATATGTAAGTAATAATAAAAGCTAGCAAGATTTTTGAATCAAACATTTTGGAAGAAACTATCCATAAATACTGCAAGTCTTGGAGAGACAATCCGCTTTCGCATTGAAGCACAAAGGATGTCTTCAAGAGACAACTCACTTTTACATTGAAGCACAAAGGAATTATCAGGAAACAAAAGGTAGATTAATCATTATTTTTCTTTCTATTATTTACACTGAAGCACAAGAGATCAGGCTCTATCTCACGAAACTTCCTCCTTTTTAACATCTATACAGCTCATTTGTTTTTGTGGAAAGGAGAACAGGGAGAGGCAAAAATTGTAAAGAAAAAATGTTAGATCCCTTTTTTAAGGAAATCAACAGCATACAAGGATTCTCATATTGACACCTGAAATGAGGGTTGCAAAAATCCCGCCTAGGCACCGAGTAATCGGCGCCTAGGCGCTAGGGGCCTCTAGGCTGTGGCGATTTCCCCCCTAGGCTCCCGCCTAAGAGACCGGCCGCCTAGGCACCCACCTAGCGCCTAATTCGGTCGCCTAGCGCCTAACTCGGCCGATTACGCCGAGTTAACTCGTCAATTTCTGTTGAGTTAGCCGAGTTAACTCAATCGACTCGACCTTGCTAATTTTTTTTCATTTATATGACATCTATATATATATATATATATATATATATATATATATATGTATGTATGTATGTATGTATGTATGTATGTATGTATGTATGTATGTATGTATGTATAATATGACATATATGCACCTATACACTTGCACTGTTTTTCATTATTTCAGTTAACCGCCTAGGCCGCTTAGGCCGCGCGGCGCTAGGCGCTACTCTACCGCCCGACTAGCGCCTAGCGCCTATTGCAACCATGCTGAAATCAAGATTAGAGTATTATTATAATAGCCAAAAAACTCAAACAAGTAAGTTTCTAACTCAAACAAGGTATTGACTAATGATAAAACATGTAAATCTAATTTCACATTTGGCATGTGATAAGCATGTTAAAAGGTAATAGTGATATACTTGTTAAACTGAATTTTGGTGAAACACCACATTTACATTTAAGCACATGAGAATAAAGAAAATGTGATTGGTTTGTATGACTGTATGTCTATGTTTTTGGTTTCTCTACTCAAATGAATTTCTTCAATAGTGTCCAATATTGCGATAGTTTTTTAAGAAAAATTGCATAAAAATAAGGGAAACATTAGATTTTGCAGTTCAAATCATAAATCCTTACAATTTTCTGTTTTTTTTTTTTAAGAAACTGCATAAAATTACTGTAATTATTAGATTTTGCCGTTCAAATCATGAACCCTAACATTTTCATGTTTTTTCCCGTTTATTTTTCCTTGCTTATTAATAAAGAAAATAAACAAATTGGATAGTTTTGGCCTACAATACAGTGAACAGACGGGAAAAAAATTAAACAAAAAAAAATTACTTATTTTCCTCTTAGATCTGTTGATGGACTGAGCTTCTAGCCACGTACTCAGTTAGAGAGATTTGAGATATTTCCGTCGACTTTTTTCTCCGTCATCTTAATCGGTGTATACAGTCATTCGCCGATTTACTCATCGGTATAGCGATGCTATGTATCTATATAAAAGCGTGTAGTAAAACTGGAAAAATGAAGCCAAAGAGGATAGAGAAAAATGAAATCGACGCCATGCATGCAGATGAAGAATCATCTGGAAGCAACGGGCTTCGACATCTTCGGAGAAAAAAAAGAAGGAAACAACAGAAAATGGAGATTAAAGCAAGAAAGTGTAAAGCAGGAGATGTGTTGCTAAAATGGTAGAGGGAAGGCGGAGCAAGGGTTCTCGGACAGGGGTGGCTGCAATCTGGTGGAGTTAGGGTTTGATTTTTTTTTTTTTCTTAATATATGGGTTTTATGGGTTTGGACTAGGTTAAATAGTGAGTTTTTGTTTGGGCCAACAAAAATATAAATTGCGTATAGATTAATCTGGCCTAAACAAATTTTTTAGGCCAGATTAATCTATACACAATTTATATTTTTGTTGGCCCAAACAAAAAGCTCACTATTTAACACAGCCCAAACCCATAAAAGCCCATATATTTTTTAAAAAAATCAAACCAAACCCTAACTCCACCAGATTGCAGCCACCCCTGTCCGAGAACCCTTGCTCCGTCTTCGCTCTACTATTTTAGCAACATATCTCCTGCTTTCCACTTTCTTGCTTTAATCTCTATTTTCCGTTGTTTCCTTCTTTTTTTTTCTCCTAAGATGTCGAAGCCCGTTGCTTCCAAATGATTCTTCATCTCCATGCATGGCGTCGATTTCATTTTTCTCTATCCTTCATTTTTTCAGTTTTACTACACGCTTTTATATAGATACATAGCATCGTTATACTGATGAGTAAATCGGTAAACAGCTGTATACACCGATTAAGATGACGGAGAAAAAAGTCGACGAAAATATTTCAACTCTCGCTAACTGAGTACGTGGCTAGGAGCGCAATCCATCAACAGATCTGAGAGGAAAGTAAGTAAAATTTATTTTTTTTGTATAATTTTTTCCCGTCTGTTCACTGTATTGTAGACCAAAACTATCCAATTTGTTTATTTTCTTTATTAGTAAGTAAGGAAAAATAAACGGGAAAAAACATGGAAATGTTAGGGTTCATGATTTGAACTGCAAACTCTAATAATTCGAGTAATTTTATGTAGTTTCTTTTTTAAAAAAAATAATAAATAAATAAATAACAAAAAAAATTGTAAGGATTTATGATTGAACTGCAAAATCTAATATTTTCCTTATTTTTATGCAATTTTCCTTAAAAAACTATCGCAATATTGGACACTAGAAATTCATCTGAGTAGAGAGACCAAAAACATAGACTACTGACCAATCACATTTTCTTTATTCTCTTGTGCTTAAATGTAAATGTGGTGTTTCACCAAAATTCAGTTTAAAAAGTATATCATTATTACCTTTTAACATGATTATCACATGCCAAATGTGAAATTAGATTTACATGTTTTATCATTAGTCAATATCTTGTTTGAGTTAGAAACTTACTTATTTCAAGTGTCAATATGAGAATCATTGGTATGTTGTTGATTCCCTTAAAAAGGGGGATCTAACATTTTTTCTTTACAAGCTTTGCCTCTCCCTGTTTTCCTTCCCTAAAACAAATGAGCATCATTGTATAGATGTTAAAAAGGAGGAAGTTTCGTGAGATGGAGCCTGATCTCTTCCGCTTCAGTGTAAATAATAGAAAGGAAAATAATAATTAATCTACCTTTTGTTTCTTGATCATTCCTTTGTGCTTCAATGTAAAAGTGGGTTGTCTCTTGAAGACATCCTTTGTGCTTCAATGTGAACGTGGGTTGTCTTTCCAAGATTTGCAGTATTTATAGGTAGTTCCTCCAAAATGTTTGATTCAAAAATCTTGCTAGCTTTTATTATTACTTACATAACTTGTAAGAGTGTCAATCATATCACATTGAAAAATGAGCAAGAAATGATACACGTAATGTCAAATCAAATCAAATACCGAGTATTTTTTAAAGGCAACTAGTAATTGTCCCGTGCGATGCACGAACTATTATTAACAAATTTACCAATTAAATTTTTTACATCCTCTGAATTAGCAAAGAAAGTAATAGTTGTAGAAACAGAAAAACGTATTTGAATTCTTCAGCTCAGAATTAGTTTGATTAAAAATGTAAGTATAACTATACAATAATGTAATATTTAATATTTTTGAAAGTTTAATTATGCTATTATTATGTTGATTTTAAAGTTTATTGTTACTTGCATTATTATTTGAATTTGAATTTTTCTTTTGAAAGGAATTTGAATTTGAAATAACTACTTTAATTATATAACTAACGTATTTAAATAAAACTTGTAAATAAAATAACAGGTGATATTTGTCGAAAATCTCCGCCAAAAACTTATTCATTTGAAAAAAATTATTTATGTAAGAACTATATTTATCTCATATCTAATTTCTCCTCTTTATATATGTGGAGTCAAATTAATTATAATTGAGGTTTAAATGAATATATACACAAATTATATTAAATATAAAACTTTACCAATAAATTTGAACACAATTAACTTTTTTCTATACTTCATTATGCTTTAATATATATAGAGATAGAGATATGAGTTTTTAATTATGCTATTATTATGGTGATGATAGTTATAGCCATGAAACTATGGAATCTGAGTTTTTATCAGAGAACGATTTTCATGAAGGTGCAGGGAACTTTGAGGATTGGGGATTAGATGATGGTTCTGTGATGGGAGAAGTCCTTGAAGAATTCAAGAAAGATGGCAACGATAGCCTCGAAAGTTTGGAACCCGAGTTTCTATCGGAGAACAATTTTCATGAAGATGCAGGCGAGTTGGAGGATTGGGAACTAGATGATGAGTTCTTCACCAACAATTTATCAGAATCTGGAAATCCCATGTCGGAAAACGAGTCAGATTTTGATTATGGGGATGCAAACAAGATGGAATCCTTGTGGGAACATCAAGATTTGCTCGAACAAATAAAGATGGAGCTCAGAAAGATGAATGCATATATAAAAATGTACAGACTGACTTTCTGCATTGACTGTCATTAACTATATGATAAGCTTAACTGTGAATCTGTGATTACAATCTTTTACAAAAATCAAGCACAATGGAAGGCATACATCCACCATTACAAGAGAATGAATAAGCAATTCAAAATGGTTTGCGAGATAGATTTTGGAGGAGAACCAATCAAGCAGATGAGGTGTGAGGAGCTTCAAATGCTTTAAATTAAGATTAGAAAATAAACAACTCGATTCCTCCCAATGAAAAGTCATCCCAGGTTACAATAAGCTGTATATAGAAGAAACAAGTTAGCAATCACGAGAAGGCTACAATACAAGATTGAGTGAATAAATTATAAAGATCACAAGTTAGCAATCACGAGAAGGCTACAATACAAGATTGAGTGAATAAATTATAAAGATCACAAGTGTTCCTTTTTCATACACAATTCGTTGATGCCATGTATTCCTCTTTTTCTTTATTTTCAAATTGTCTTAATATGTTAGGGGGGGCAGAGGGGAAGGCAATGCACACCTTCATACTTTGTAATCTGAATCAGTATTGAGAAAAAACCAATGGCTAAATATGAAAAATTGATCAACCAGGATAAAAAAGAGAAACCTCTAGTCATTTGGAGGAGTGATTTTCATATCTTCCACCACTTGATTGTATGCATGCAGCAGTGACGTTCGAATGTTTGCTATTTCTATGATAGTATCCAGAGCTACGAACAGATTAAGCCACAGAAAATGATTAACACGAAGGGGAAGTGAGGGATGTGCAATAAATTTTAGTCCAGAATTCCTAAATGTCTGCACATGTTCAGGATTTTCTTAATGTTGAGACTATCCTTCACAGATAAAAGCTTGAAGAATGAAAGAAATGAATCTCGTTACAACTTTGATCCTTGAAAACATGCGTGAACTTTAAATAAAGGGTTAAGTTATTCACTTGTCTCATATGAACGTTGGGCAGCACGAAGCTTTGGAGAAACCAGCATTCCAAACATAGATAGTGATTTGAGCCGCTCTCTCTGAGCCTAGAAGAACATAGTAAAAGTCTCAAGTGTTGATTCAATTATCACCAATTTAACTTCAATTTTAAAAATTGGACCAACATCTAATGATTTTAAAAATTGGAAAAGTAAATTCATTTTGCCTCTACCAATACTATTGAAACTGAATTTTGGAAATCTGGCTTAAATTTATGTTTGAATACAGAGCTGATGCCTAACTGTAGGTTATATGCCTTAAAACAAGTTAAAGAAGAGCAATACTGGTCAGAAAAGAGGTTAATTTACTTGGTCATCAACTGTTCGCGGAGATCCATTATTTTCTTGCTTCTTCCCCTGAGCTTCTGAAGTAGAATACAAGTTATATTTCAGATGTCAAAAATCAAATAAAGTTAAAAGATCATCACTAGTGGATCCTTAGAATTCTCACTTTAAAGACTTGGCACACCAATTCTAGTAAATCAGTGAATAAGATGGAAAACAAATACACAGTAATTACCAGAATCATCACCATGGTGCGTGGACTCTGGATTGTAAGATTTTCTATGCAAATTTACCTTCCTTGGGTGTGCTTTGTGGACTAGCAGAAGAAGCCCTCTTGCATAACCTGAAATGCACCTGCTCCATCCTGGATCCTGCTACAGAAGAAATACCATCTTTAATACTCAATCTGCACATAGTTTAAACCTAACTATATGAGTTTCACTTCTAAGTGCAAAATTTAATGATGGAAATCACAGTTCAACCTTCCAAATGATCGATTTCCAATGTAGTTGCGGCAGAATGTGGTTTGAGGTCAAGCAATGAGCTGTTGATGCGTGACGCACCCATAGAAAGCCGAGCACTAGCCAACTCCAGACATCCCTGCAACGGATACAATAGAGCCAAAGACGTAATCAGAAACGCAACATTGACATGTTAAATTAAGAGCTATCATTTCAGTGATTTCACTCAATTAGCAACAAATGATACTTTATTCTGATACTTTAGTCACTTAATTTCACATAATCTACAAATTTAAACTAGAAATCCGCATCAAATGATAATCGTTGCAACATACAAGCAGATCATTATAGATACAAATCCAAGAATCTATTTCTGGATAGAAAAAAAAAACAAAAACAAAGAATAAAATGTAAAAATCAAAATTAAGTGAAGGAATTGGTACCTGGCGAAGTGTTGAAGATAAAGTGTCCATGAGAATCAGATAGCTATCCAATGAATCGAGAAAATTTAATACTTTTGCGTCTTTCTCTACAATTCCTTCTTCTCCATCGTCAGAGATTTTCGTTTCCGTTTCATCCGCCATGGCCGGCATTCTGATTGTTGAGTTCTTCCCTGAGCCTCTTAATATCGGACGAAAACAAATGATAAAGGGACGTCGTATTGTTCCTGTCAACACTCAACAGCGAAATTAAACTGTATCCACTACTGTGGACTCATAGAGTAAGAACTCTTTTCACTCTATACTCTATGGAAATAAATGCAAGTTGATCCACTTTTTAGAGGGTTGACAGGAGTTCAAAAATAGGAATTCAGTGGTGCTTAATGCATCTAAAGTAAGAAATTCATTATTCCACGAGCACACACAAAAAAAAAAAAATCTTCTTAATTGCTGTTAGTGCTAATCGTCAAGGAGAATGATAAAGCTAATCATGTGTGACTGGAGAAGGAGAATTTAAAAATGTTGCTGGAGGTCAAACATCCAATGCTTGGAAAAATCCTAAGGCAGATCATAGTGTTTGTAACAGATGCTTCTTTTTACTGGAAAACTCAAAAGTAATCGAAAGTCAAAGTGACACAAAATTACTTGCAAAAGTTCCATTGTTGAGCTTCAGCCACTTCCTTATAAGCCACTCATTAATACCAGCTTATTTATGTTAGTGCTAGATTTTCCACCAATTAGAAAACTTCTCAAGTCACCAGTGCACTGTCTTGGTGCCACCACTTCTAAAACACAATACTATCATTTGATTCCAAAAAGATAAAAACAGAGAAATGAAAGAGCAACAACAATGATGCTGCTGCCATTTAGGAATGTAAATTTTGCTATAAAATAGCATGGTTTTAATTGAAAGCACCAATTAGACTAAGTGAACAGTTGTTATGAATGGATCATTTTACGCCAATCTGGGAATTAGAAAATGGGAACAAAATACCCAGAAATATAATAGATGATGCCACAATGTCCAATTACAGGTTTTCAGCACATGAATTTCAAAAGTATAGAAATAATTCAACATATATATACAAAACAATTCCTAAAATTTGAAATATCCACACAATAATTCGAAATATAATTATAAAATTCAAAATATATAAAAAATAATAATTCAAAATATATATAAAAAAAAAAACGATTTTAAAAAATAAATAAATATATATATTACCGTACGTATGTCCGGCGAGCTGTTGCTGCGAGGCGTCGACGTGCGGCGAGCTGTGGCGGCTAGGCGACGTCCGGCGGGGCTTTGGCGGAGACGCGACGCTGGCTATTGCGGCGGCTGGCGTTCGTCAAGGGGACTACCGCTGTGGCGACGAGAATGAGCAGCTGTAGCAGTGGCGACGGCGGTGTGGCGTGCGAGTGTGGAGGAAGAGTTGTGGCCTGTAGGCGCCGGATCGGAAGAGTTGTGTTGAAGAAGAAAAGAGTGGGGTTTTTTTATTTGAAATTAGAGTGTGGGTTTTAAACAGAATCAACGTCTTAACTTTAATAAAAAAAGGAATAAAGGTCAAATAGGTCATCGAACGGCATTCAATAATATAACTAGGTCATCGAACTTAAAAAAGCTATAATTGAGTCCCTGAACTAACCAATTATATTCAATTAATTCAATTTGTAGGTTTTTCAGGTAATTAGCAGGTCATCTCTATTTTAAAATATTTTTAAAAAATTATTATTTAAAATAATTACTTTTTTTTAGAATATTTAAAATAATAACTTAATTTAAAAAAAAAAAAAAAGATACCGTCTCCGGCCATGGATACGGAGATAACTTCTTCGTCTCCATGGAAGGAGACGAAGAGTCTCTTCGTCTCCGGCAAAAGACGAAGAAGTTATCTTCATCTCCATGGCCGGAGACGAAGAAACCTTCTTCGTCTCCGGCAGAGGCGATCTGTTTTTTTTTTTAATTTTAAATAATTACTTTAAATAATAATTTTTTAAAAAAATATTTTGAAAAAGGGTGACCTGCTAACAATTTGGAAAACCTACAAATAAGACTAATTGCATAAAATTGGTTGGTTCATGGATCTAATTGTAGTTTTTTTAAGTTCAGTAACCTAATTGCATTATTGTGTGCAGTTCGATGGCCTATTTGACACTTATTCCATAAAAAAAATTGTATAACTATACGACGTCGGCTCATTTACGAGCCGACGCCGATAGTACATTTATTATATTTTTATATAAATATATTACGACGTCGGTTATTATATAAACCGACGCCGTAGAATTTGTAATTTCTTCTTTTTTTATTTTCGAATACATACAATGTCGGTTTTAAGTTTTAACAAAAAACTGACGTTATATGTATTTTAAAAAACTAAAAATTATTTTAAAATTTTTAACATTGGTTTTGTAAAGAAACCGACGTTACAATGGCGACGTTGTAATACATTTATGTAGTAGTGATATCTTAAATATAGCCCTATAGTCATATAGATCTCCTTGTCGACGCTGATTTGGGCTTCATATCCATTATTTCACGGATCAACATTGGGCTTTGGGTTTAATCCAGTCCACTCAATATCTAAACAGGCAATTTATATCATACACCCCGGCGTATATCTCTATGTGCGCCCAGCTTCAAAACGACGCCGTATGGAGTTGATACGTAACGGCCTTTTTTTTATTGTTCAGTTAACGCCGTCAAGTGGTAAGAAGAGGGAAGTGAGAGAGGGGTTCTAAAGAGATGGTGTCGTCGCGCCGATCATGTCTGTTGGATTAGAGAACACGGTATTGATCTGATTGTTCGATTTGCTCCGTATTTTGCAATTGTTGGATGTAAGCCATGTATGATTCGATTGCGCAGCAGCATGTGGCGGAGACAGAGCAAATAGATGATCCTGTTGGAGTGGTAGATACAGAGGATGTTAATCCAGGTATTAATATTTGATTGTTAAGATTTTTTTTAATTTTTTTTGTATTTTATTTGATGTGTGATGAATATATTGAATTCACATGGGTTATTGATGCGTTGAATTATATAAGAATTGATATAGGATTGCTGTTTGATTGTGGTTGTATTGGATGTTAGTATGGTCTGATTTGAAGATGTTGATCTAGGGAGGTTTGATGTGCATTGCATGGTTTGATTTGTTCGTTTCTTTATGCAATTGTGTAGATTTTAGGATTGAATGTCATAGTAAGATGGACTGAAAAGATATTTTCCTGTATTTATGATTATGTGTATTGTACCATGTGTTTATGTATATTATAGTTATGGATTATGTACATTAACAGTATGGGTAGTTAAAATGTATGTGGTTTGCAGCTGATCAGGACTTGGTCGGGATGTCAGTTTGTTCGGTTGATGAAGCATATGACATGTATAATGACTATGCTTTTAGAGTAGGTTTTAGTGTGAGGAGGGGTAAGCAAAGATATACTTTTGCTACAAAAACAATGAAGACGAAGATGTTTCATTGTTCGAAGGATGGATTTAAAAGGAGTACAAGAAAATGGTGTTATTCTAAAATTGATGGTCGTACAGGTTGTGGTGCATTTGTCCAATTTGATTTACATGAGAATGGGATGTGGATTGTTTCGAAGCACGAGAAGTTGCACAATCACGAATTGGTTCCACCAAGCAAGAGTTACCTTCTAAGGTCACATAGGATGGTGTCTAGGAATCATATATCCTATCTTACTGATTTGAAGAGCAGTGGTGTGTCTGTTGCAGGTGGTGTAAGATTCCTTAAAACACAATCAGGGGGATCACCACTTGTTGGGTTTACAAGTAGGGATGCATATAACTCTCTATGTACTGATGCATTGAACAGATTGGATGGTACTGATTCAAACACATTGATTGAAATATTCAAACGGAGGCAGTCAAGTGAAAGGGATTTTTACTTTGATTTTGAGGTGGATTTGGAGTCAAGGTTGTGTAGTTTTTTTTGGAGGGATGGACGAATGAGGAGTGATTACGATTTGTTTGGGGACATGTTAGTTCACGATACAACATATCGTACTAACAAATATGACATGATTTGTGGACCTTTTGTTGGCATGAATCACCATTGCATGATTGTTATGTTTGGATGCGGTTTTTTGATGAATGAGAAGACTGAGTCATTTGTATGGTTGTTTAAGACATTTTTGAGGTCTATGGATTACAAAAGTCCACAAAGCATAATGACTGATCAATGTGCTGCTATGGCTGCTGCAATTGTTCAAGTTTTTCCAAGTTCACGATATCGGCTATGTATATGGCATATTGGTGAGAACTCAAAGAAGCACATTAAAGGGTTAAGAAATTAAAAAGATTTCTTAGATATATTCAATTGCTTGTTGAAGTATACCGATATAGAGGCAGAGTTTGAATTTTACTGGACAAGGTACGTGTCTGATGTATGCTTCGTTATTTTTCTTTTTTTTTTTTGTTTTTATTATTAGTTTATATTGGATTATCATTGAATGACTATTTTTAGATTATATTATACAGAATACAGAATTAATTTTTTGGATCAAGTTTATGTGTATTTATTTGATAGTTTATGTGTATTCATGTATAAGATTATGTACATTAGTCTGTTCTGTATGTGATATCCTGATATGCTTGTAGGTGTACTTTAATATATTTATGGCATGTTATTTCAGGATGGTTACAACATATAAATGTCACAATAAACATTTGATTGAAAAGCTGTATGGGTGTAGAGAAAAATGGTGTCCTGCATTTAATAAAGATTATTTTTCGGGTGGGATTTTATCTTCTCAAAGGAGTGAGAGCACAAATCACTCTATTTCTAGAAGGTTGTCCAAGACATCTGGTCTGTGTGATTTTTATAACTCATTTGTTGGGGTCATATCAGAGTGGAGAAGTAGAGAGAATGGGGAAGATGTTCAGTGTTCACAAGGTGTACCCACAATGGTGATGGATAATGTTAAGATTCTGTTGCATGCTAGGGAAATTTATACAATTGAGATATACTATTTGTTTGAAGAACAATTTTTGAAAGGTGGATCATGCTATCAAGAGTGTGTGATGCTGGAAGATGGTGTGTATAAGTATCATGTTTGGAGGCCTGATGTGGATATTATTAGGCATGAAGTGATCTTTAACAGTAGACAAATAGACATTGGATGTAGTTGCAAGTTGTTCACTGAATTGGAGATTTTGTGTTGTCATTGTTTACGCATTCTAAATGTGCATTGTGTTTCTGAAGTCCCTGAGAAGTATATTTTGAAGAGGTGGACTAAAAAAGTTGTTGAAGTTGATAATTTTGATATAATGTCTAGAGTTGATAGTAGTAATGGTGCATCTTCTGTTTGGTTATTAGAAATCATTAGGAAATTTCAGAGGCTTGCTGTTTACAGTCAGGAAAATATCGAAGGACGGAAGATTTGTGAAGAAGCAATTGCAGATGCAAAGAGAAGACTTGAAGCTGAATGTGGTGGTAGTTTATTTGAAGAATGTGACATAGGATCGCCAAGTGGTGTTATAAAGGATCCATCTACTAGGCGGATGAAAGGGTTGCGGAATAGGAGGGTGAGCAGTGTTATTTCAAAGAAATATAACAAAGCAAGGGGACGGAAGCATCTTGCACATATGGTTGCTTCCAAAATAAAATCTGCTGTTCAGTCTCAAGTTGAGGATGATATTTTAAATATTGCGGGTGATGGATATCTTGTCCATTCAAATTCCGGAGGTTCTAGTTTTTGTCATGTTAGCACAATGTCAAGTATGGAGGACAATTAAAGCATATGTTAGTGTTAATCATCGTAGTTATATGTATCACGTACAGAAGGATGTTGAATCATATAACTCAGCAGTAATAAAATAGACATTTATTATGATTTCTGCTGTTTTAAAAGTTTATGTGTATTCATTATATACTTTATGTGTATTACTTCATATGATTATGTACATTTTTATTTGTGTTAATTACTTTTATATATTTATGTACATTTCTTTTCTAGACTTGCAGTTATCAGTATAGGGAAATGATATGCTTGGTCCTATGTGTATTTTGTACATGGATTATATTCAGTAGTATGTTTGATTGTATATATTAGCAGAAACAAAATATTTGTTAGACTTTTTTTAGTAGTATGTGCACTGTTTTGAAAGTTTATGTGTATTCATTATATGGTTTATGTGTATTACTTCATATGATTATGTACATTGTTATTTGTGTTAATTACTTTTATATATTTATGTACATTTTTTGTTAGATTTGCAGTAGTTATTCGTATAGGAAAATGATATGCTTGGTATTTATGTGTATTCTTTGAATGGATTATATTCAGTAGGGTGTTGGTTTGGCTTGGTGAGAAGTCGCCAACCCTGCTTTGCTAAAAGAGCAGTATTAAATCTACTTAAATTCTTAAATCCCAGGCCACCGAATGACTTGCTCACACACATTTTATTCCACGATATCCACCGTAGACTACCCCCGCCTCTTCCTCCGATTTCCCACCAAAATTTGTTCATAATCCTTTCAAGTCGCTGAAAGAAGGTAACCGGCAAAAAATAGATGCTCATGGTATAGGTTAATAGAGCCTGTGCTATAGTTTTTAGGAGGATCTCTTTGCCAGCCCGTGATAAAATCTTTTTATTCTAACCCCCTAGCCGATGATTAAGTTTATTCTCAATAAAAGAGAATACCTATTTTTATTGCGGCATATTCCCATTGGTAATCCAAGATATTTTCCAATACCATCACTCTGCGTATTATTGAACACATTTGCTACTGCTCTTCTAGTTCAAAAAATGTAACACCTCCGAGGCTATAAGCACATTGTCAGTAATTAGATGACCCGGCAAGAAAGCACTCTGTGAAGAAGATAACACCTTGTCTAACACTTCCTTCAACTTGTTGGCCAGCATTTTAGACAAGATTTTATAAATAACATTACACAATGCGATTGGACGCAACTCTCCCATTGACACAAGAACTGATTTCTTCGGGACCAACGTGATTATCGCGTCATTCATACCTTCCGGGAAGGCCATTCCTTGCGCACAATCAATAACAAACTTAGCCACATCTAACCCAATTTCGTTCCAGAAGTGTTGGAAAAATGCTGGGCTGAAACTGTCGGGTCCTGGAGATTTATCCGGGGCCATACTGAAGAGAGCGTTTCTAACATCATCATAAGTAAAAAGCCGCATTAGAGCAATATTATCCTTAAGAGAGATTTTAGGATTAATGGTATTCAGAGTCCCACCCACCCATGCAGACTCCTTTTGACGTAAATATAGCAGAAAAATAGCGCTTAGCTAATCCCAAAAGCTCTTGACCTTCAACCCATTGGTCCGCTTCATTCTTCAATTTAACAATCGTATTCTTTCTTTTCCGGGCAAAAGCGTAAAGGTGAAAGTACCTTGTATTTCGATCACCTTTTGCTAACCAATATTGTTTCGCTCTTTGGCGCCAGAAGATATTCAATTGGTCGTAAAGATCACGAAGCCTGCCATCCGTTTCACGAAACAACCGTAACGAAGCCTCAGAATAATTGTTAAGCAAGTCATTCAAACGAGATTTAAGCATTGCAATCTCCCGCTCAGTCCTTTTTTTTTAAACTTCCACCTCAAGTTTTAAGAGAGGCGCCACATTGATCGAGTCGTCTAGGCAGCACATCTCCCACAGATGCATTCTAGGCTCCCAGTACAACCTCTTTACACCTGGTTTCCTTCAACCATGCGTTTTCGAACATGAATTTACGTCGTTGATGAACAATAAGAGGACCATCAATTTCAATATATAAGGCCGAATGGTCCAAAGTAATAACCTCCTTGTTATATACTGCACCAATCAGCCCTGGCTACCGCCCTATCAAGACGTTTCTCAATCTAGTTCTCCGTTCCCACGTAAATTTCCTCCCCTTCATACCGAGGTCCAAGAGTCCACAGTCATCTAACATGTTATTAAAACCATAAATGAGAGCTTCCAGGTGAGGACGCTGGCCACGTTTTTCAGCTTGTGACGCAATATCATTAAAGGCAAATTAGATTTGGATTGAAGAGACCTTAGAAGGTCTCATGATTGTTGGTGACGACTTCATTCCGGGAATCCATAAAAACACATTAATATCTAGGGGTCGCTGCTAGGCAGCCTCACCTGGACATTAATGTGATTTTTAGAATAACTAATTAGGCGTGTAATACCTCCGTCTCGCCAGAAAAGAGCTAAACCACCTCATATTCCTCCTCCATCCACATAAAATAGGTTATCAAAATTGAGTTTCATTCGCAACTGCTATGCATGATTGCGGCGCACCTTAGTTTCTATTAAGAAGATAAATGTTGGCTTGACATTAGATTCTAAGGCCAAAATTTCTTGAACTGTACGTGATCGCCAAGCCCACGAAAGTTCCAGCATATTGAACTCATTGGGACGTGTGGGACTAGGCTGCACCAATTCCCGCCTTCAACAAGAATCCATCCTGGCATTCAGATTTTCCAAATCACTGGTACTGTTATATACTATTATAATTTCAAATATGGAGGAATTTTTTTTCCCATTAAAAATCATTAACATAAAAAGGAAAAAATATTTTATTAAATTGATAACCATTCTAGTCATTACTGTAAAAGGAAAAAAAAAATATTGAATAAAATTGATAACCGAAATTCTTTTACTTTTGTAATAGATATTAAGATAATTGAGTAATTCTCGAAAAATAAATTGGTAAATTTGGAAAATAAATGTAAGTGATACAATGAATAAAACACAAAGTATAATCCATCAACGCAATCTATATGTACCAACAACAAGTTTTTTGAACTCCCATTATATGTACTTTGGGTACGAATTCACACTATAAAAATAATCTCGAACTCTAAGTGACCCATTCACTACAGCATCATGGAGTCGCACCAATTGACATGCTTTTTTTCAAATAGGACCACAACAACACAAAAGACCTCTCTAGCATTGTTTACACATTTTTTTTTTCAAAAATATAACAGACAAAGAACAAAACTATTTTTCACCATTTTTTACAACAAATATAAATAGCTAATCCCAAAAGTATGACCACGGATGGACACACTAAACACCTCAACCTTTTCCAATATATGTATCCTTACAATAAATTTTTTTGAAACAAACGAGCCAAATTCCATTAATGACTTAACAAACTCGAGATACAATCAGGCGGGATAACAGTCCACACCCCTGAGACAGACATAGAACTGGTCGCCCGAGCTAACTCATGAGCTACGCAATTCGCTGATCTCTTGACATGGGAAACACTAACGCTCCACATATCCTTAGCAATCGACATACATTGCTTCACAATTATACTAATATGCGAAAAATCAGAATTACAAGAATTAAACGCTGTGCAAAAATTTAAACAGTCAGTCTCAAGTATAATATTCCTTTGGTTCTGTGCTTTCAGCCATGTCAAGGCCTCCTTGACCGCAAGAGCCTCGGCCATATAAGGGTCAAGATCACTAGCTAGACGACCGCTCTTGGCCGCAACAAAACGACCCTCGTGATCACGCACCACGGCTTCGAAGCTAGCACCATCCCCGGATAAGGCAGCATCGACATTACACTTGACATAGTTCCTCGGCGGTGGAGTCCATACAACAGGTGGTCGTAATAGGATAGTCGCTTTCTGTGGATTGGCGAAAGCCTCAACCCATTCAGCTTGCAGTCTTACCGTAAAGGCTCGTGTTACCTCCACTGATGGAGCTCTATTCTGCCAAACAGCCTCATTGCGCGCAAGACAGATCGTCCAAAACACTGCTGCTAGTGCAACCGCTTCCTTAACAGCCGACTTCCCAATCACCACGTGCATAAAACTAAGGATACCTCTTTCCTGAAGCACATCGTCAGCCTCCCATATTCTCTTTGCAAACACACAGGTGCAAAATAGGTGTTCTGTTGTCTCCGTTATGTGGCCACAGATCGGGCAACCCCCTCCAATCCACACTCTCTTGGAACGCAGGTTATCCCGCACTGGCAGGACACTATGAGCACAACGCCACAGCAAATTCTTTACCTTGGGTGGGATTGGCAGGGCCCATAGAGCTTTCCACGCGTGAAAACCTTCATTGTCAACAGGCTGGATCTCGTCGCCCCTTAGCAAGCCATAGCCGTGTTTGACCGTATACTTGCCTCGAATATCACCTATCCATCACCAACAATCTTGCACTTGAGTGTTAACCGGGGTTGCAAGAATCCTAGCAACATCAACATGTAGAAAAATGTCACGAATGATGTCCACGTCCCACGACCCTTGTTCGGTAAGCAATCCATGCACCCTAGCCTCTCGCAGGTCCTCTATGCATGGAGTGGTTAAAGGTACTTGTGTTAAATCCGCAAGCCATTTCCACCCCCAAATCTTTGTGTCACGGCCGTCGCCAACATGGCGAGCCACACCCATTTGTAAAATTCTTTGCCCGGCAAGAATACTACGCCAAAGGAAGCTTGGGTTCCCTCCCAACTGAGCATCCAAAAAATCCGTTGTATGGTAGTATTTCGCTTTCAATAATCGGCTCACCAGAGAATCGGGATGAATGCAGCCTCCAACCCCGTTTGGCCAAAAGAGCAACGTTGAAATCATGCAGTTTCTTAAAACCTAGGCCGCTTTGCGACTTCGGCTTACACATTCTATCCCAACTCAACCAATGTATACCCCAACTTCCCCTACCCCCGCCGCCCCACCAATAGTGGTTGAACATTTTTTTCCAGCGTCTCACAAACCCGCAATGGCAGTAGAAATACCGACATGGTAAATATC